AAGGTTCTCTCTGAGTTGCTAAATTGCCTAGACTGGGCTAGAACTTTCAACCCTCCTGCTTCAGCCTCCCAGACTACTGCGATTACAGGCATGCATTACCATGCGGGCCTTCTTTTTATTCTTTACAATGATTGACTATCCAGAGAACTTTTATCGTCAGGCATGGTGGTACTCACCTGTAATCCCAGCAGTCTTGGAGACTGAAGCAGGAGAATCAAAATGTCAACTGGTTTGGGCAATTTTAACAACTAAAGGGGCTGGCCAAATAGATCAGCAGATTAAGGTGCCTACAAGCAGGCGCAGGGGCCCAGGATTCGATCCCCAGGCTTGCCGGCCTGCCCAGTTGAGACATTTGAGACTGGTGGTGCATGCCTGTAATCCCAGCTCTTGGGAGGCTGTAAACAGGCGAATCACTATGTAGCGAGACCCTGAACACTCTGTAGACTTTTCCTTAAAAAATAAAAAAAATAAAAAATAAAAAACCCCAAAAAACTAAGGCTCAGTGCAAAGGCCCTGCCCTGAGTTCAATCCCTAGCACTGTAAAACACACAAAGTATTTTTATATGAATGTATCTGTCAGTTGTTATTGCATAGAAATTAAAACAAATTTTTATTTATTTATTTTAATGTATTTGGTTGTTACAGGGTCTCACTACACAGCTCGGACTCCTAGTGATCCTCCTGTTTTCAGCCTCCCCAGCTCTGGGATTACAGGCATATACTATCATGCCCGGACTCTGGCAGGCTCAGCTGGCCTTGGGGGCAGGCCTGGTGCAGCACGTGTTGCGGGCAACTGAACTGTGGTCCTTACACTTGCCTAAGCTTCCCTAAGCAGGTGCTTCAGTCTGCTGAGCTATCTTGCCGGCCCCTAAAACAAATTTTAAAGCAATGCTGTTAATTCACTTAGCAACTATAAGTGTATTACATGTGAACATAAATATAATTTTAAGAAAATAACTACTAAAGTTTCCGGAATAAAAAATAAAATAGTCTCCAAAAGAAAGAAGAGGGGTATTGTTTCATGTTTTGCAAATCTCTTTAATGCAAAACTTTACAGAAAGCAGATGGGTCCTTGTGCCCTGTTCTTTCTGTCAGTTGCAGTATCGTGTTGTTTGACTTCTGGAAGGAAACTCCACCATGCAGTCATGAGAGAATGAGAGTGACAAAGGTAACTACCATTGTAGGGTGAGTGTGGAAGTAGTTTTGATCTCATGGACACCTCAAGGGTCTCCATCCAGTATCTCAGGTCCGCTGTCAATATTCTCAGTGAAGTAAACCTTTAATGCTCACTTGGCTTATAAGCAATTTATGGAGCTTGCCTTCTGTTTTAGACCCAGGTTTTTGTTCTCCCCCAAATTCCGACGCTGAAGTCCTACCCCCAGTGTGATAGTAGGAAGCAGGGCCTCTGGCACCGTGAGGAAGGTGGAGCCTTCATGACCAGGATTAATATCTTATCAAAGAGGTCTCATGGAACTCTTTCGGCGGCCTAAGGATACAATGAGAAGCCAGCAGTCTGTAACCCCAAAGGGGGCTCTCTCCACCCTTTGTCCATGGAGTATGCTGCCCTCTGCCCTCCAGCCTCCAGAACTGCTTTTTTGTGTCAGTTTTCTGGTATTCCTAAGTTACCTGGTTGATGGTATCTTACTCTCGCAGCCCAGAGGGACAGACACCTCTTCAGTATGTGGAGAGGCAGAATTTCAAGATGGCCCCACTTCCTGCTCCCTGGTGTGCCACTCCGCAGCTCCCTGTAATTGTGAGGGGATAGTTATGCTTATGAGCAGCTTGTAGGCAGGCCACAGGCGGCTTTAAGAATGGGAGGTCATTGTGGTTGGCCCTGACCTGAGCAAGGGTGCCCTTGGAAGGCGCCGTCCTCCTCTAAAGGACAGACCCAAGGGGCGCAGTAAGATTCTCTGAGGCTGGCTCTGAACATGGAGGTGGTCCCATGGCAGGTGGCTTCCAGGAACTGCGACAGCGCTCAGCTCTCTGCCAGGAAATGGGGCCTGCGTCCTAGGACCGCAGGAATCTGGCCAACAACCAAATGAGTTTGGAAGTAGTTCTTTCTTGGTGCCTGGAGGAAAGAATTCAGCCTGACTCAGCCCCACTGTGGCTGAACTTTGGACTCACAGACCTGTGAGATGATAAGAGTTGTTTTAAACCACTTTGTTCTGTAGTGTAAAACCCAATACTAGGTCTTGTTTTAATTTTATATCTCAAGTTCACAAATAATTATAAATAATCCTTTCTGTGAAAAATGGAAATTACTGCAAAGCCAAGGTTTCCCCATTCCAGTCAATCCTGGGCCCTTCCCTGCTCCTTGTTCCAGGCGTAGCCAGACATCAGATAGGAATCCTGCAAACTTTTTCTGTATGCATTTTTGTGCATGTATTTTTCCTTATTTTACCTTCAGAAATGCATTGCAATGAACATAATAGCTGACCCAGATCTCCTAAAAATAAGACAACAACAATTTAAAGTAACGTTCTAGAGCAGGTTCTTTATCACCCACTGAGGCATTCTGACCCACCCTAATGCTCTTCTTAGGTATAATTTTAACTTGGTGGTTTGGAGTGGGGGTTGGGGTCGTACCAGTTGAGACGCACTACAGTCCAGGCCAAACTCTCCCGCGGGCTTCCACCTCTTTCAGTTCAGAGACAGGATGAGCCCATTTATACTTATACGCTCAATTAGTATGTCCCAAAGTGACCTTTAATGGCCAACTTACTTCTGCCTCATTTACTCCTGGAAAAACAAAAGTAGCCATGTCTTCACCAGGAGCTTCAAATCATCTCACAGAATTGCTAGTTTACCTTGGAGTTGATGGCACTGAACGGGTGTGACCCTTCCGGAAACCTGTGGCACACACCTGCACTACCTCCAGCTCCAGGACAGAGTCCCTTACCAGTGGCTCACGGGCACCAACAAGTGTGGGGGAATGGGGTTACCTTGGCAGAAAAATAGCCCCCTAGTTTAGCTTCCAATAAAAGAACCAGAAGCAGGTTTTCCAAAGTGTCTTTGGTGACAAGCTCTCAGAAGGAAGTTCCTCTGCCAAGCAAGTTTGTCCTCCAGACTCAGGAGTATGGGCTACAAGCCTGTGTGGAAAGTGCATATATTATGTGTTTCTCTAACACAACACAATATTGACCAATACCTGTGGTATGTCATCACCTGTACAGCTTCTGTCTGGATCTCCCCGCACTGCCTCATGCAGCCAGGCATAGGTGGGGCTCTTTCAGAGGTGGCTGGATTTAGAGTGTGTGACACTGGGATTGATTCATGGTGCAATGCTAGGATCAAGGGCACCAGGATTAAGGATGTGGGTGCTGCCTGCCCTAAGTAGCCTGGATACGATAGAAAGGGCAGAAAGAGCTGTGTCCAAACCTTGTCGTCTCTACTTTCTGCAGCCATGAACTGTTTCTTCTCTACCATGCCCCTTTGCCATGTGCTGCCCTGCCTTGGAGCCAGCCCATTGTGGACTGCAGCCTCTACAGACTATAAGCCAAACAAACCTTTCCTCCCTTACTTTGTGGGTGTTAGCTGTTCTGTCTCAGCCAAGAGAAAAGTAACTAAGACCCACCTGGCCTCAAGCTCACTGACATTGTAGTGGGTCTGACATTTTGGAACAGTAGAGACACAGGCCTTTTCATTGCTTGGCCTTTTTAAAAAATATATATAAATTTTATTGAGAGAAACAGCAGCAGAAAAGTATAAAAACAAGGAATAAAAAGTAAAGCCATATTAATATGCTGAGTTGTAAAAGGCTGAAGTCAACAACTTCTGATGGGGCCAGGGAGATGTCTCAGTAGAATAAGTGCTTCCCTGGCAAGCGCAAGGGCCTGGTTCTTTCTTTTTCTTTTCTTTTTTTTTTTTCTTCTGGTACCGGGGATTGAACTCAGGACCTTACGCTTGCCAAGCAAGCACTTATTCTACTGAGCTATCTTCCCAGCCCAAGGGCCTGAGTTCAATCCCCGGTTCCACCAAAAAACAAACAAACAAAAAACAAACTTCTGACATTTCCAGTCCTGCGGGTAACCCACTACTAATATGGACTACTGGACTATATTGGGTTGCTTTGCTGAATTCATGTACCTACAATATTTTAATGGCAATGGAATACACATCTCTGACAAAAGTAAACAAAAAAGCAGATATAAATGGACCATTTTTAGTGGAAAAAATATATACCTGTATATACAAAATAGCATAGATATACAGCTACTTTCTTTTAGTTCAATGCTTGGCCTTTTGCAATGCTAACTTTGCCAGGCACACTCTGCCTGTCTGCTGAAGGCGAGCATGCCCCAACCCCCAGCTCACTGACCCTTGGCCACGGTGTGCCCATCCACAGGTCTTTCACTTGAGGCCTCCTTGAGAAGGTCATCCCCACCCACCTGACTCCCAGCCCCGCGGGTTCTCAATGCTTCCTGCCTATCCAGGTAGGGCCAGCCCACACCTGTGAGAGCTGTGTTTGGGGTCCAGGCCCTGCCCAGGCAGCCCCAGCCCTGGCAGCCCCAGCCCCAGCACACGACCCCATGCAAAGAGCTGCAGCTGTCTGTCCTTTCCTGCCGCAGTGAGCGGACAGTTCATTCTCCTTTCTTGGGAAATCTTCAAGTAGATGCAATTCCCAAAGTTCACCAAAGGGACAAACGTGCTTTGGCTACAGCGTTTTCAGCGGTGCCAGATCGGCCCAAATCCCCGAGTTTGGCTTCTAAAGGCGACTTCAGAGTGTGGACAAATCCCCAACTTCATCTCAGTCCTCAGCCGCGGGAAGGGAGCGCGCCACCCCGGCCGCGTCGTTGGGCGGGGGTTTGTGACACTGGGCAGCCCCGCTACAGCCAGCTGGGGTCTTCCGTCTCCGCACCCCGGAGATTGAGGGAGTCGGGCTTTTTGTGACGAGCCTGGGCAATTGGGACCAGCCCGGAATGGGCGGCCCGGGCGGGACGGGGGCGGAGCGGGCAGCGCTGCGCTGACGGCCGCGGCAGAAAGGGGGCGGCCGCGCCCATTTCCTCTCAGCGCCGCCTCGGCCCGGACGCTCCGCAGCAGGAGCGGCGTCTCCTACCCGGCCCGGCCCGCGCCGCGAGACCCCTGCGGGCGCTGCGAGCCCGCCGCCCGGCTGCCCGCATGGACGCGGCGCTGAAGCGGGGCCGCTCGGAAGAGCCAGCCGAGCTCCTGCCGCCGGCGCGGGACTCGGAGGAGGAGGAGGGCGAGGAGGAGGAGGAGAGGATGGAGCAGGCGCTGGAGGAGGAGGAAGAGGTGGACCCCCGAATACAGGTGGGGCGCGGGGGCATCCCGGCTCCGAGGGGGTGCCGCGGGCATCGGCGCCCACGCGCACCCCAGCTTCGCGGTGCCTGCAGTCCGGGGGTGGAAGCCGACCAGGTCCGGGGACGCGAAGCGGAGCCAGCACGCCCCATCCCACGCCCGCCCCACTGGAGGCTGCGGTGCCCGCGCGGACGCGGCCCGGCTGGATTGCGGGGATCCCTCGCGGGCCCCCGGACTGGGGGTCGCTGCTGCGTGCCCGGCGGCTCGAACGAGTGTGCAACAAAGAAAAGGGGGGCGGGGGCTGGTGGTTTCGGGGTGTCCCGGCGCGGCGCGGAGTCTTGGCTCCGGCGGGCACCCGCGCTGTGGGCGGTGGGCTTCGTCAGGTCCTGCAGCGCGGGGGGCAGCGGGCTCGGGCTGCAGCCCTCACCTGGCGGAGGTGTCGGCCTGGCCGCCTTTCTCCCCCGGCTCATTGTTAGCGCGCCGAGGGCTGCGTGCTCGCTGTGAGCTTCGCAATCCGCACGGCCCGCAATGGCTTAAAACCTTGCGTTTTTCCTTGCGGCGAGGTCGGGTATGAACAGCAATCAGGGGCAGCCGATGCGCAAAGCTGACGCGTGGAGACGGCAAGGGGGGTGGCCTGGCTTTCTGGGCCTCCATTTCCAAGAGGGATGATTAAAAAACGATTTCCAGCCCGAGCTGTAGGAGTGACAGCTTCACCTCTTCACCCCTGTATGCAGAAAGCACGGCAAATGCTTTTGCAGGATCCATTTCCATTTTTCTACTCTTTCCATAAATCATTTTTTGTTAGTACTGCTTTTACGTATTCCCTGCAATTTCTGGAACCCTAATTGATTTTCAATGCACGGATCCATTAAAAGCATACTGAACGCGCTGGTTGAGGTTTAAATAGTTTTGGCTAATTAACAAGGTGAAGATCAGGTGGGAAAATATTTGCATTAGAAATTGTTTTGTTAATTAAAATCATTAGTTTGGACTCAGAAATCTTGGGTGCTTGACCTGGAATTCTGTTAACAAGATCCTTTGTTTACCGAATAAAGATGAGTTAACTTCATGTTGGGCCGGACTTACAGAATATCAGTTTCTGAATGTTTAGGGAACTGGGATTAAAACTAGTTTAAAAAAATTAAGATGAGCCAGGTCGGTTGTATTATTTACAGTTGTAAAAAAAAAAAATTCATCTTTTTGTGGGAAAATAATCATTAATACTAAAAGCCTGTCCCTGATTTGAAAGATTTCGCTGGGTCTGTCCCTTGGGCTTGGACTTGCTTATTTTATTTTCTCCGTAAATTTCTTGTTCTAAGCCAGGTGGTACTCTGATTTGATTACTAAAACTGTTCATTACAATGAAGTGTACCAGAAGGCACACACTTGGGATGGACATGTGACCCTCCCAGGAAAGACAATCGCTAGGACCTTGAGAAAAAGATGGGAGGGAAAGAAAAAGGAAAGGGTGGGTTGGAAAGCGTGTTATAAACAAAAATATTTAAGAAATGTTGTCAGTATGCTGTTCCAACCAAGCCTTCCCGGTTTCCTTGAGAGTGAGGACTCCCTCCATCAGAGGAGAGTGACTGTTGAGGCTACAGACTAAGTTACGCCGAAAACAGAAATGATTCTTTAAATCTTTTTTTCCCTTTTCCTCCCCAGGGTGAACTGGAGAAGTTAAATCAATCCACTGATGACATCAACCGCCGGGAGACTGAGCTTGAGGTACAGAGGGCAGGCCCCGCGTTCTTGAGTGGCAGGGCGCGGGCTGGTTCCTTTTGGCCTCCTAGTTGGAGCGTTGTTGCCCGAGCTCTTTCCTCCTTGGGAGCTGAGCAACAGCCTGTGTCTGGCTGAATAACAGACCACTGAGCCAGCCTGTGGGCGGAGGCCCTGGGATCCAATTTCACACGCTGTTTTTCATTATGGAAGCTCCTTGGGGCCAGCCCCAGGGTTGTATAGAGCGTTACGAAATGTGTAAGCCTCACAGGGCTGGGGGGGAAATTAGCTGAATTCTGAAGGAAAAGAATAAACTCACAGGCATTTTTAAATATTTTAGGACAGCGCCTTGCATTCATACTTGCATCTGTTTGGATATTGGTGTTTTATTTCCCCGTCCTACTAATTCACATCCCTTTTCCACGCCCCTGCTCATTTTCTTTATTGTCTGCTTTTGCTTGGAACATAATTATCTTAATAGTAACTCAGAGATGTTTAGATTTGGGAAGTGCGGTCCTGCTGGGAAGAACTTGGGAGAGGAGGGCTTGATGTGACTCCACCCTGAGCGTAAGCAAGTTAGCGTTCTCCCCAGCTACTGATTAGTCTCCGCCCCTTTTTAGTAAGGTTGCATTTATCCTCCAGCAGCCAGCGTGAACAACCCAAGTTTACATCCGGGAGCCCGAGAATTGGCTGTCAGGATTTAGGAAAACAGGGAGCGCATAGGAGAGCCTGTGCCCGTGGTGGGAGGAAGGGCCAAGAAACTAGCGGAGGAATCGGAGATGGGAACAGGGTTGGCTGGCTGTAGTCCCCGAATGCACGCGTGGGGCTGGAGGTACTAGGTCTGCATCTGGCTCAGTGTTCGTTTCTCATTCCCGTATATCCTAGGAGTCCATGAGCCCTGGCTGCCTTTCTCCTTCCAAGAAAAGTAAAGCTGTGTGCTTGTTTAACATACTATATTTTTAGCTTTGATAAATTAAACTTCTCTCGTCTGCCTGTCTCAGTGTGTGGGGTCTTGGGGATTGAACCAAGGGCCTTCACACTGAGCTACCTCACCCCCCTTTTAAAAATTATTTTTTATTGAGAAACGGGGTCTTGCTGAGTTACTCTGTATAGTGCCCAGTCTGGGCTCCAGTATATGATTCTCCTGCCTCAGCCTCCCATGGTGGTGGGGTCACAGGTGTGTACCACTGCTCCTGGTTTAAATTAAGCCTCTGTAAGACTGGGCAATTCAAATCTCTCATAATCTCAGGGTTCTAATCCTTGGTGCAACAAGTCTTATTCCTCTAGTGCGTTAGTATTTACAAAATATTTTGGTTTTGGTTTTTTTTTGGGGGGCGTACTAGAGATTTAATCTAGGCCTTGGGCCTGCTGGGTAAGCAACAAACTAGTGAACTTAAGTATCTTTGACAAGCCTTTTTTCATTCCATCCTGTCATAATAGCCCGGAGCCGCACAGTCCAGTGAACCATGTGCAGTACGTAATGTTTAAGTTAAAACTTAATAAGTCTTAAAAGTTCAACATAGCCCTGCTCTGTTGGTACTGACGAGTGAACCCACGCTCTAGCGTTGAGCTCTAGCTCCAGCCTATCTTTTTAAATTTTGAGGCAAGGTCTTGGGAAATTGCCCAGGCTGGCCTCAAACTTGTGGTCCTTCTGCCACAGCGGATTTCCTACTTGTCTGTTCACCCAGGAAGGAGGCAGCGCCTAGCACTGCAGGCCCACAGAACCTTCTGTGAAAAACTCAGCGTCTCATGGCTCAGTGCTGCGTCAGAGCTGCATCTCGGAGCTCAGCTGCAGGCATTTCCCAGGAACCTCCCCCCTCCACTCTTCTTTCCTGCCATCCACATATGAATAGACAAGTTGGAAATAGTCTTTTCTAAAAAATAAATAACGCCTACTATGTGCTGGCTCCTCTTCTGGGAAGTGAAGAAAATGGCCCCATGTTCCAGCCCTCAGTGATTCTGACCTTTGCGGGATTAAACTGGTGCATTGAGTCAACTCTAATTAGCTTTAATTTCTGGACTCCATTTGCCCTCCTGTGTCATAGGAAGCCACCCGACAGGTGTTTCCTGCCTGGCTCTGGAGAGCATTTGGAGCTCGTTGTGGGGTGAGCTGGAGGGTGTGAGGAGGGTAGCTGGGGCTGACCTTCCTGTGGTGCTATTATAACCAGACTGACTCAGAGAAATATAATATACAAGCCATGAAGTAATAAAAAGGCACCCTAGTAGACACAGTATTTAAAAAGAAACAGCCAAAATTAATTGAATACAGTTTAATCTAGAATATGAGATAGTATAATAAAACATGGAGTCTGTAGAAACAGCTATGAAGGAGAGGACTAGGGTGTAGCCCATAGGTAGAGTACTTGCCTAGCATGACTGACGGTCCTGGTTTTCATCCCCACCAAAGAAAGGAAGGAAAAGATCCTGCATGTTTTTGTACTAAATCTTCAAGATTTATGCATATTTCATACTTAGAGCACCTGTTCCAGAGGACTCCCATTTTGAGAACTGAGTAGCCACATGGGACCCTGAGCAGCCCAAGTCTAACAAATGTTTCCTGCCCAGCTCACTATTTGCAGCTGGAGTCAGGAGGAGAGGACCACATGTCTCTCAGTGGCGGCTGGGATCCTTCAGTTACACGCTGCCCGCTACTTTATGCCTAGGTGGACCAGGGGGACAGAGGCCTTGTCCTTAAGGAGTTTCCATTTTAGCCGGGCGGGAGTGGAGAGGTAGCTGGTAATAACTCATTGTAATCAGAGTGGGAGAGAGATCTGATAATGCCTGAACAGAAGGCTGCAGCAGGACCTGGCTGTGGTCGAGGGGAGCGTGCCCAGGAGGGGGAGAGAAAGCGAGCCGTGTGTGTATACGGTGCATTCTGGGTATTTGCAGCTGCATGAAGCAACTCTGTAGACTTGCAGCTAGTGAATTAGCAAATAGTGAACTTTTTGTTCTTAGGGGAAATAGAATTCTCTCAAGCCTCTGATCCTAACTTTTTTTTTTTAACAGTATATAACCTTGTTTTTTAAATATTCCTATTTAATATACCTGTTTGTTACATGTTACTGATTCACATTTATAGTGTAATTTCTCCATAAGCCCCATCACAGCCTGCCTGTGCTCAGTAACAGGAGATAGTACCACCTCCATGAGCCATTTTTTTTTTTTTTTTTTTAAATGCGGAACCAGGGATTGAACTCAGACCCTTGTGCTTGCCAGGGAAGTGCTTATTCCACTGAGCCATCTCCTCGGCCCCTCCATGGGCCATTTTTAACAGCAAAGTCACAAAAACTCCCCAGAAGGCAGAAAAACATGACTCGGTTTGGGTGGTGTAAAGTATGCTTGTTTACTGGGTGAGATGGGGCGGAGCAGGGGCTTGTCAGCTGCTCTAGAGAGTGACTCCAGAGTTTCACTGTTCTGAATGAACTAGAAAGTGCCGTGGGTGTAGACTGGTGTTATGTATATACATTTGAGTGAGAAGACAAATCCAAGCCTGTGGAATCTACCGATAGTGGGGACTGGCTGTACTTCCCGGGCCCCCATATGTATTTGGCTGGTCTCACTTCCTTTCCCTTCTGATCTGGGTGCTCAGTACCTCTCCTCACTCTGAGCAAGCCACACTAACGACCAGACTCTGGCAGTTACTAAGTTGCTCACACAACAGGGCTGTACTGCAGTTGTCTCTGCTGTCCTTGGCTGGGAAGCTACTCCTGGTTTTATCTTTAGGAGGTGTCCTGTTCCTTGTCTTGGCTGTTTTAATTGGACATGGCAGGAAGGCCTCTGGGTTTGCCTCTGACCTTTGGCCTTATTTGAGCACCGCTAGGTCTTCTCCTGCTATTGAAGGGGGGAAGTACTTTTTTTTTTTTCTTTTTTAAGTGTGTTTGGTACAGGGTCTTGCTACTCAGTTGGACTTGTGGTGATCCTGTTTTCAGCCTCCCCAGCACTGGGATTATAGGTGTGCTGGTTGGTGCTGGGGATCGAACCCCAGTACCTGTGCTTTCCTAAGCAGGTGTTTAGTCTACTGAGCTATCTCATCTTCCAAGGAAGGATTTTTTAACCTGAAAGGCCTTTGCATGTGAGCCTGATGTTTCAAATTAAGAAGATAAATGCTTTCCCCAGGGATAGTTAGCTTTGATTTTTCACTAAGTATTTATTGAGCATGTATTGTGTACCAGGGACAGTTTTAAGTGATGGGGAAATGACAGGGAAGAGAATGGACTGAAGTCCCTGCGCTTCAAAGGCTTACAAAGGCGGAAAGAGAATAAACCATAAATACAAAGTAGGCTACGTGGTCTGGTATGCTAAGGAGAAGAAGCCTGAGTGGGTCGAGGTTGGGGGGTTTGGGTGCAGAGGAAGGAGGAGGATGTTAAACTGCGTGGGCCCTAGCTGATGTCTGCAGAGATCCTAAGTGGAGGGGCCTTTGGGTGGGAAGGAAAGGTTGGTGTCAGCTGGGAGTGTGTCAGGTCCAGTGGAGGGCCAGCAAGGGAGCCCAGAGTGGGGGCGCAGTGGCCAGAAGCGGAGGGGGAAGCCAGATAAAAGGGTCGCGCGTGTGTGTGGCAGCCCTGCCAGGTAAGATGCTGATAGAGGCATGTGCTAATGTAGTTAACAAGTGCGCATCAGACGAGCAATCTTTTTCAGGTGTATGTTCAAGCAGATGCCACGCAGAGACTTTCTAAATCTGCTTTGCGGTATTCTGTGCCACTGTTACACATATGTTTGCATTCCTTGTGTGGAGTGGGTGCGTGTATGTAGCACATCCCAACTCCATTTTTCGTTTTTTAATCTTGAGCTTTATTTTTAAATTTTTTTATTAGTACATGTTTGCATTTCTTTTTTTTTTTCTTTTTTTTTTCTTGTATTTTAGGGAAGGATCTACAGGGTATTCAGGTTCTTACTACTAGATTGGCCTGGTAGTGATTCTCCTGTTTACAGCCTCCCAAGTGCACCGCCATGCCCAGTCTTACCATGCCCTGGAGGTGGGGCCGGCACAGCAGACCAGAGGGATTGAACCC